TTATTATTATTGTTATTATTGTTATTATTGTTGTTATTATTTAATTTTTTGTAATTATTTAATCATTTATTTGTTTATAAAGAAAACCTTAAGTAAGCAAAGTAACAATTACAATATCAGGGCAATACCATTATTATTATGCATAATTTTTTTTACAAAAATATTTCATATGATTTTATTAGTATTTTTGATCGTTAGTTCTCATTTCATTTTTATTTCTATTTTTGTAATTTTAATTTTAGGTATGAGATGCGTTTATAGTTAATGATGGAATTTGCTATTTTTACAGATTACATGGCCTAGAAGACTTTCTTGTTGGCCTAGAATAGACAATATGTTTTATTAGCATTTTATGAAAAATAGTCGAAAAAAAGGAAAAAGACAAATAAATAATGAGAGATAAGAAGGAAGGAATGAAGTGCTACAGAAGTCAAAAGAAAAAAAAGAGAAACGAATCCACTATGAAAGGAAACTTCATGGTTTATATAGTTAATTAAGCCTGAATATGCTGTCTAATGACTAATAATAATAACAGTAATAATTAACAACAGTAATAATGATATTAATAATGATAATAATTGTAATAAAAACAGCAATAATAGTAATAATAACAGTAATATATAACAGTCAATAACTATCAATACTACTATCATTACTATTACCATTATATCATTTAAATTTATTGCGGCAAACTGTTGTAAATTGGAAAAATTCGATTACGATTGTATGATATTTGTTGTTAATTTGTGATTAATTTATATAATTGCAGCAAAATGCTTCATGTATTACTTTTATGTCTTTTCAATTTACCCCGCATATTTGGTGCATTTGGTGGTTTAGTCGGTCGAACACAAAGTGCCGGTATTGAAGGTACACTTATGTGTAACGGAAAACCACTTGGTGGTGTTCTTGTCAAGTTATATGATGATGATAGAGGTTTCTTAGCAACTTTTTTTTTCGCTTCTTTTTTTTTCTTCACTTATTATTCGATCATTTTTTTTTTTGAAGTACCAAAAAAAAGCGAAAAAATGAAATATTTGAATTGTTATCAAAAAAGAAAACCATATTTAATTTTTTCAATTCACAGTATGAATTAATGTTAAAAATTGTTACCATAATAAATATAAATATTGAAAAAGCATTTCTGATGCAATTGCTCAAATATTGTTCGAATTCAAATTTTAATTACATTAACAAAATTAATGTTATTAAGTTAAAGTCTGTAAATGATTTTCTTTTTTTTTTTTGTTGCCACAATATTAAATGATAGGAAAACTTTTGAATTGTTAAATTGTACTATCATTTGCATGTTTTTTAATTTTTGGAATTAATTTAAATATGTGGAAAATACTTCATTTTCGCATAAATGCATTCGTGAATGCAAAAAAAAAAACAATTCTAGTTTTTAAATAAAAAATTAAAATTTATTAACTATAATTTGGGGAATTATCATTAATTGAAATATATCCATCATTGAAATATTTCCATCAATATTATATAATAACGTAGGTAATCTTTATAAAGATAATTGATATGTTATTATTAGACAATGTAAGTAGTCTTCATGAAAGTGACCGATGAGTTATTATTATATAATTTAGGTGATCTTTATTAAGGTAAATGATGTGTCATTATTACATAGGTAACCATTATGAATTTATTTATATTCAAGCAGTAACGCAATAATTCGTCTCTTTTGTTGTCCTTTTTTCATTTAAGTAAATTTTTTAACTAAACTTTTTATTATTTCATAGTTATTCTTTTCATATATTAGAATTTATCTAATATATGTATAAAATAAAAGGATCAAATATTTAGCAAGAATTACAGGAATAAATAAAAAAACTAACGTGAGAGCAGACAAAAAAAAAAGCTACTTAATACTTATTTCTTTGAATAAATAAGTATTATTTTCAGGCATTGATTCAGATGATTTAATGGCAGAAGGTAGGACAAATAATAAAGGTTATTTTCATCTTTCTGGTTATACCAGTGAAGTATCAACAATCGATCCAAAACTTAACATTTATCATGATTGCAACGATGAATTGATTGTAATAATTTGATTTGTTTTTCCTAAAATATTTTAATAAATAAAAATAACATTAATCAGATTGGACATATTTAGAAATATGGCTTCTATTTTCACTTGTCTATTTTTTTTATTTGTCCTTTTCCTTTCCTTGTTCGCTTCTCTTCTCATAATCCATTTTAATTTTATGTATTTTTTCAAAAACAAAAAAAATTAAATTAATGTGACTATTGAAGAATTTCTTTTTTTTTTTTGTTGTAATGATGTAATGATGCAATATTACAATAGTTTTATGAATTATTAAATGATGAATTAGACATTGTTTTATTTTATTACTTCGTTGTTTTCGGTTTTTTTTTTCTTTTAGTGAAACTAAACCTTTCCCATCATTACGAAATATTTTAACATTGTTGATAATGACTTTGTTAGATTTTAACAAAAATTAATTATTAATGATAGTCGAGAATGATAGTGTCTAATCACTAACGATGGCCACATAAAGATTGAAATCTTTCTGTGAAATCTCTCACCATTGTTAGCTTATATCCTCCTTATCACCTTAATTTTACTTACAGGATTTCATCATCCTATCTAACTAACATTGTAAAAAATTTTATTCTAACATAATTTTAGTTTCATTAATCTAACAATGATAGTAATTTATACTATCTTTTATCTTTATTCCATATTTATAATTCCATATTTATAATAGTTTAATTGCAATTCTATTTGTAAGACAGAAATTAATCCGTTTAAGTATAATCGTCCCCTTCATTTATGAAATTAAACAAATATTTGACTCAAAATTTCCGTTTATTAGCTTTCTACAAGAAAACTTTGAAAATTTTTCCAAAATTTTGGGAAAAAATCTTCGGGAAAAAAATTTTGATACAAAAAACTTTTTGGAAAAAAAATTTCGGAAAAATTTTGAAAGTTTAGTTGTAGAAAGACAATAAAAGTTAAAAAAACAAAATTTTGCTTCAAAATATATTAAATTATATTGCTATACAAACAAACAAATTGAATTTATATTTTAAAAAAAATTTAATATTGAAACATGGAATAAGTTTTTTAAAAAAAAAATAAAGTTTTCTATATTTATCTACAAAAATTTTCAATATTTCTATAATTTTCTATAATTTCTAACAAAAATTTCTTTATTTCAAACAAAAAAAACAGTAAAATTTCTATTAAACAGTGTAATTTGTATTAGTTAATTACTAAATCTTTATATTCACAAAATTGTGGCGAATATTGATAGGGTTCGTTTGAGAGGGTGATGTCGAAGAGACAACTATTGTCAGCGATATAACGCGAGTTGTAGTAGCGTTAAGTTGAATTGAGTTGATTCAGGTACGATAACTTGAGTTGAGTTGTACACGCACCAGATTGTAGACAATTTATTGATAACCGTTACCTCAGTTAATACCATAGGGTTTATATTTATTAGGAAATGGGAGTGGTTTTCATTAAACATTCATGGGCAATTTCACATAACGGAAACGGTTAGGATCCACTTACAGTAAAAGCATTGTCACAATGAAAGATTAGCATGTGGTTAAAGATGCGTCCAGACAAAGATGGGAATTGGGATAAATAATTTGAAATGATTGCTAGCAAAGGCACTTCCTGTTGAACATGAATACAAAGATTTGAACTGAGATAAAGATCGAAAAAACATGGAAATAAATCTAAGGAATGTAGAATTAATTAAATGAGTCCATAACATTGGATATATTCATTTACATAAGAATTATTTGATTATATA